AAAAAAATCAAGAACTAAACTAATAAAAAGATTCAGAAACTCAAACAGCATATTTGGGGTAATCTTCATTAATTGTTTGTGTTATTATTGTAGTGTTCAGTTATACCACTGCCTCCTCTCATCCTAATCAGAGTTTGTACATGTAACAAACTTAGGACGTGACCAGGTTTTGTTTTAATTTGATGGCTATAAGACGAATTATTAACACTATTTTCAATGTTTTGTAAGAAAAAGAAAAAAGGTAGTGAGCAGGAAGTATCCTCATAAAAACCGATTATTTCTATTCAGTGTGTGTTGATGTACGCGATTACATTATGTATGCGTTATGAGTGTTTAACCAACACAAAGAACTGTCTCAGCAAATAACTGCCGCACTGGTTGTGTATAGCTCCATTGTAGCTCTCAAGGTCTGCCACTATGAATAATAATGACCCTGTTTCCGTGTCAGGCTAGTACAATCATTACAGCAAGGGTTGTTTACTGTTTATGTAGAATGTATGATGATAGGGAAAAGGTGAAGGAACTCAAACACATTAAACATCATTGACCTGGGCCATTCAGGTGCTGTTCATGCACTGAAAACCTAATGAAGCCAATAAGGTAGAAACCCAGCAGTGCACAGTGTTGTCAAATAGCATTGCACCAAGAGCTCTCTGTGGCTCTAGGTGGCTTAACTAAATAGGCAAACCATTTGTTCTGTCCAGGAAACCGATATTTGTGGAATACCACGCTCCTTGGAGGTAGCTCGCTCTAGTGGAACTATTATTACTGTGTCTGGGTGTTTTATCTGCAAAGCTATCATAGGTTTTTGTCAGGTCACTCACTATTTTTAATAATAACCTACTATCATAATGACTGCGGGGAACTGATTGATGCATTAGGCACTGTACACCACGCCACCACTTACTACGAAGCCATGCTACCGCTAACATAACCAACAGAAGCTGTAAAAGTTCAGAGGACTTTTGGCTCCATTTTCACTCTTCATAGTAATAGAGACAGACTGCACTCAGTTTCTGCACATGGTTCAAATGTGAACACGTGCAAGCTTGTTAATGTCTGTGGGAAATTTGTGTGTGCCTGTTTGTAAAGACCACTATGCCTAATGCCTAATTTCAGTACTTCAACAAGGATGCCATCTGGTTTTGTCAAGTATGAAGAACACCTAATAGGTGCTCATAGAATACATTTCATAAGTGAGACCCCTGCCACTATGCTTGGGAGACCCTGTGTCCTCCCATTCTTGGCCAATTGATTAATACACCATGAAAACCACTCCTTCAGAGAGAAGCCAATTACGTAGCTGGCGAGGAGTAGCCTTCTCCAGGGCTTAGTCTTAATTGGAAGTCACGGTACATGGCAGACCACAGCCGTCCTCTCGCTAATTCTACCAACTGCTCAACATGTTAATTAGCAGGTATTGATACTGCTCAGCTGTATTAATATCATATTAATCCACACCACTCTTCTGATAGAGTAATTTGTGTGTTCCCTGATGTCCTCTTCTGCCATTTGTTTTTTTTTTTTTTATTTCTCCCTTGTTCCCTCTGCCTTTCTTCCTCCTTGTTTTGTCTCCATCGTCTTCCTTTCTCCTGGCACATATTGACTGACCAATTGGCTGTGTCTCACCAATTACAACGCAGTGCTATTGATTGTGTTTGTCAGACTTTCTGTGTGGTGACATATGGCAGCTCACTGCTGTAAGAGCAGTGCATAGTGTATCTGCACTGACTATTGTTAATGTAACCTCTGAATGGAAGGAAACTACTTGAATGGCCAGATCATGTCAGCTATAAGACGACCATGTAGAAAAGCTGATATCAACTCTGCAAGTTTCTGAACGTTTACTGGAGAGATTGAAGTTGTTTTCTTTTTTCCAAAAGTTTGTTTTTGTTTTGTTTTTTTCTTATTTTGTGGATGATGATTGTAGTGCATCGAACAGCAGTGTCTAACACACTAGTCTAAAATGTCACTGCTTTGAAATGTTTCCTCATATAGCGCTTGTGTAACTTACAGGTCAGCACTGCGACTGTTTAATTTTACTTTATGTTCTGTTGTTTCCTTTGTCACCTTTTCTGCGTTGTCACAAATTACGAATGAAAGTGTGGTTTAGAAATCATATTCTGAACTTAAAATACATCAGTTGCAGAAAGATGATACAACCAAGAGGTGGGAGTAAACTATCTTTAGACTTGTAATGCATTGCTCAGTTTGTTAACTTCACTGTGACACATTCATTATTTACATGTTGTGCCTTTAATCCAATTGCTTGCAGTTCAGACATATGTGTTTAAGTGATATGTAAATATCACTTGGCCCAATGTAGTAGAGTTACTGTTGCTCCTTTCAGAATGGCACAAAATGTTCAAATGCTGTCAGACTAGCTGTTTCTGTATTTGCTGTGTTTATATTGTCAGACTTGAAAGTGGTTCTCTCATCCATGGCCAGAAAGCAAGTAAGTGATTGTATTTTTAAAAGAATTAGCACTTTGAAACAGCTCTTACCGCTCTGTAATTTAAACAAAAAAGGTTGATCATTTATTCAAAATTGCCTCATTGTATTTGTTGGGTTAAATAAAGAAAAATAATTATACATTTTTAAACACTAAAGCACATTGCGCCATATAATAATTCAAGTGTCAAGAGACACCAGCTCCTGATTAGTGTAGCAACGAGGGCATCATATGGTGGCTTTCTGTTTTTCCCTTAGGAGACTGTGTGGGGATGTACAAAGATGCATCGTGGTAAAAATAGATGAGATGAGGTATTGTGCATTCCCTGTGGAAAGGCACTGGGTTTCCCATGCTGAGAGGAAACCCATTTATCTTTCTGGTGCATGTGTTAGCCAGCAAGCTACAGTAGCATCTATGTTTGGACAAAACCCCGCAGCCTCAAAAGAGAAGGGATGGAGGCTGAGAAATTAGGAGAAGAGAAAAGAAACAAAACATTTCTTCTGCCCGCAACAGCAGATGCACTGCTGGTGCTGTGGGAACTCTCTCTGTCTACAAATGGCCCTGCTTACTCTCTGCGCTAAAGCCTGGAGTGTTAATGCTCAAATTGTCACAAGGGCCCTACGTCTCACATAGGAATATCTGTCACTCTCCCAGACAATGCCAGCGAAGATAAAGGCGATGTATTAGTTGCCAAACAGCCACTAGCTTTCATGTTGCTGGATGCACATCAGGGGCACAGTGTTGTGTGAAAGGCAACCAGAGGTGTGAACTGAAGGATAAACACTTGAACTTGGATAGACCCTCTGATGCAGTTCTATTCCAGGTTCGATAGAATATACCGTGCACTGATCAGGTGCAGATTTGCA